GGAGGCCAGGGACAGTGGCAGGTTGCCAGCAGGAGCTGTGTTTGAGATGCAGGGCCTGGACTGGACAAGGCCGGGCGCTGATGAGGTTTGGAGGTGAGCAAGGATCCAGGGTGCCTCCTTCAGGATCATGAAATCTAATTAGGCTGCAGGAGGTCTGGGCTCTGGGCAGACTTCATTAGGCAAGAGGCTGCTCCCCTCTGCCTGACTCCAGCCTCCCTGGGGCCCCTTCAGTGTCACTCCGAGGGTCAACTCCAGGCTATGAAGGGGGAAAAGAATTAAAAGCTGGTCCCTCTCCCCGCCCCCACCCTGCCCCTAGGAGCCTGCAGCCCTGGCTGGAGGGAGCTGCGTGGCGCCCGCAGGGTGTCGTGGGCTTGTTCCAGGCCGGGGTTCGGGGGTGGGGGTGAGAGGAGGGAAGCTTTCCTGCTGCAGTAGGACTTTGCTTCCCTCCGAGAGCAGCGGACCCTCTCACCGTCCATACCTGGCTACACCGCTCTAGGAGGCATCCTGGGAATAAAAATAACAGCCCCCAAAGCAACAGCAGCAACTCTTCCCATCGATGGAGCGTTTATGGCATGCCAGACACTGAGTCACACAGCAAGGAGGTGGCAGAGATGGGTCTGATGGACCCTGAGTCATGCGCTGGGAGGCAGTCTCCTCTGGGCCCAGCAGAGGGGATTAAGACTCAGGCCCCAGGGAGTTCCCCGGTGGCCTAGTGGTTAGGATTCCGGGCTTTCACTGCCGTGTGGCCTGGGTTCAATCCCTGGTTGGGGAACTGAGATCCCACAAGCTGCGTGGCACAGCCAAAAAAAAAAAAACTCAGTCCCTGCCCTCACAATCTATTTGGGGCTGAGGCTGCTCCCCCCAGATGCACCTCTAGGTGCATCTAGAAGGCTCTAGAGAGGCCCATGCATCTCTAGAAAGCTATGTTGCCAAATGCCAGCTTTTCAGACCATATGGGACTAGACTGTATTTATCAGCAGCATGAAGAGGGAGAGCTCGGAGGAGCTGCTGGGAAGGCACCACTTGAGCTGAATGCTGAAACAGCAGTCATGTTTAAACAAGTGAGAAGACGTGGAGACGGCCCCCTAAGTAGGGGGTTACAGGCTGGGCAAGGGGTGGGGGTGGGGATGCACTAGGAACGAGGGAAAGGCCGAGGGGCTGGAATGACCAGTCACAGGAGGCAGGGAGCCCCAGCGCAGGCGAGAAGATCCTATCAGCCCAGGACTGGCATATGCCGTCATGCGCATGCGCTGCCTGGAGGCATCCGCCATCGTCAGGCCTGCAACGGTTCCGTCTGTTGGGAATGGGTTTGGTGAGTGCCCCCAAACAAGAGCCATCCAGGAGGAGGCATCAGCACGAAGGGGACTCAGCTAAGGCTCTCCGGAGAATGGGGGCCTCTAATCTCCCCAGAATCCTGGGAGAAAAGCATACCTGCCCCACCCCCCCGCACCCACCCCAACCAAGGCCCCATAACCACGTGATAGATCAACAGTGCAGCTCTACATCAGCTTGTCCCAACTGTGCCCTGCCTGCCTCCAGCAGAGGTGAACACCCTGGGGTAAAACCTCGCTCCCCCATTTACTTTGTGACTTTAGGCAAGTTTCTTAACCTCTCTGAGCTCAATTTCCTTATTCATAGAGTGGGCACAAAAACACCAACCTCTAAAAGTTTATTGATTTGTTTTAGGATTCAATGAGAGGATGCAAAGAAAGCATTCAGTGGAACACTTGGTGCAGGGTTCACGTTTGATAAATGTTGGTTCTCTCAAACCCTGGACAGGTCAGGGGTGGCCACAGAAGGTTCTCACTTGACTTACCCTATATGCTCGTATAATTCTCACCAGTCCTATGTCATCTGACAGCGGAGCTGGGCTGGGAATCTCCTACGACATAGATGGGTTTGCTGGAGTCCTTTACCTTTTACATTTAAATCTATGATCCACTGAGAGTCATTTTTTTGTATAAGATATGAGGTTTAGGTTGAGGTTCATTTTTTTTTAAAAAAATGAATGTCCAATGGTTTTAACATCATTTGCTGAAAAAAACAATCCTTTATCCATTGACTAGTACACAATCTTGATCTCCCCCATTTTGCTAGCCTTGCTACCTGATCCTTTGTGCCTTTCATTCATTAATTTAATAAATACTGTGGGACACATGCAAAAAAAAAAGGAATCTTGACCCTTACCTCACCCCATATTAAAAAAGAAAGAAAAAATCAACTCACAATGGATCATAGACCTAAATCTCTAACATAAAACTTTCAGAAAACATAGGAGAAAAATCTCTGAGACTTGGGATTAGGCAGAGCTCTCAGACATAACAATAAAGTACAACCCACAAAAGAAAAAAAATGGATAAATCATCAAAATTTAACACTTGTTCTGTAAAGAAACTGTTAAGGGAATGAAAAGACAAGCCACAGATTGTGAGAAAATATTTGCAAATCACATATTTGACAAAGGACTTGTATCCAGAATATATAAAGAACCATCAAAACTCAATAGTTTCATAACAGTCCAATTGAAAAATAGGCATAAGACTTGTATAGACACTTCATCAGAGATCTATCAGATGACAAATAAATGCATGAAAAAATACTCAATACTGTTAACCATCAGGGACACGTGAAAATTAAAAGTGTGATGTGGTACTGCTTCACACCCACTGGGATGGCTAAAATTTAAAAACTGACAATATCAAGTGCTGACGAGTCCAGAGCAACTGGAACTCTCATACATTATAGATACGGATGCACAACGGTATGGTCACTCTGGAAAACAGTCTGGCAGTTTCTTAAAAAGTTAATCATATTCTTGTCCTATGATGCAGCTGTACTACTCCTGGACATTTATCCCAGAGAAATGAAAACTTAGGTCCACGCAGAGACAGGCATGTTCATAGTCACAGAGGCATGGATGTTCAGAGCAGCTTTATTTGTAAAAGCCCCAAAGTGGAAACAACCCAATTCCTTCGGTGGGTGAATGGATAAAATGGTACGTCCTGAACATGGACTATTATTCAGCAATGAAAAGGAACAAACTATTGACACACGCATCACCTTGCATGGATCTCAAGGCCACTATGCTGAGTGCAAAAGGCCAGTCTCAAAATATCACATACTGCACGATTCCATTTTCTAAGAGACCAATGATGGAGAACGGATCTGGGGCTGCCAGGGATTAGGAGCGAGGGGAGGACGTGACTACGAAAGGATAGCACAAGGGACTGTTTTGGGCTGATAGACCTGTTTTGTATCCTACTTGTGGTGGTGGTTATACAAAGTTATACACATGATAAAATTCATAGAACTGTACTCTAAAAAGATGTCCCTAAAAATGCAATTTAAAAAAAAGGCTACATAAGGCTTCGAGTTCTCAGATAGCTTCTTTCTGCAGCCCACGCAGGCCACAGCTCTCCCCTAAGGCTCCTTTGAACGGATTAGAAAAGGGCACCATCTCCTGTGTGGAATGCAGCCTGAGCCAGGTCCCACAGCCTGGGAAGCGGAGGGCTGGCTGAACTGCAGCTCCACTTGCCCCCTGAGCAGCACCTTTGTGCAGTGAACAACCTACACAAATGTCCACGTGGGCCCTAGAAGCCCCATGTTTTCTTCTCAGCCTCTGTTCTCCCCTCCAAGGATGGAGCTTTAACAGGCAGCCCCCAGGGAGCGGGGGCAAGGGGTGGGCTGAGGATTCGCCCTGACTGGCCAGGCTGGGGCCTCCTGCTAATGGCTGCGAATACACTTAATGCTGAGGCTGCAGGCCAGTGCTTTTGGGGCCTGGTGCTTCATAGCTCACCTGCCAGGGAGAGACACGTAGCCGGTCAGCCAGACACACAGCGAGGCTCCGATGGATGGAGGGAGTGGGGCAACCCCTCCCAGCCCAGAAACCTCCCTAAGACTGGCGTGGGCGGGTGTGAGCAGGTGCAGCAAGGACCTTGCTGGAGAGACCGGCTCCCCACGAGCTTGGGCCCAGGCTGGGCCTGTCCCACCACTCACCTTCTTTGCTCATTGAGGGTGGCGGTGTCACTCTGCTGGGCAAGTGGGCTTCGGGTGGGCCCAGCCACATCTGCTGTGCCCCAGGGAGCTGGCGATAATGATCAGGGTCCCAGCTATTATTTCCCGGGCACCTGCTGGGTACCTGGCACTGTGCTAAGGAGTTTCTATCAAAGTGGCCGTAATAACAAAGGCACCGATAACAACAATATGAATAGCAAGTCATGTTTCCCGAGTGCACATGAGGGATGGGCCTTAACCCTCCTAATAACCCCGAAGGCTGGTCTGTTGCTGCCTTCATTTCACAGGGAGTGAGCAAGCTGAGGTTCAGGGAGATGAGGCCGGCTTGCCTGAGGCCACACAACCCGAGGCTCCGGCCCAGATCTGTCTGCAAAATGGGAGCTTGACCTGTTGACTCGCTTCATGCGGTCCCGCTGGACCACTTCAGCCTCTTCAGTCCCACGACTTAACTTTTCTGAGCCTCAAGTTTCAACAGAGGTGAAAGGGCACTTTGCTTCCTCATACCTAAGAGGGGCCCCAACTCTCCTGACAGGGGGCTCTTCAACATGAGTTCAGGCCCCACCTCCTCCAGGAAGTCTTCTCTGACCCCCTCCAGGCTGGGTCAGAACACCTCTGAGAAACAGGATTCCTCATTCTTACTTGGGAACCAAGAATGAGCTGGTCTTGCCTCCTCTGATGGTGCAGTGTGAGTATAACATCTGGGACCCCAGCAGCCACTGCTACCACCCTAACTGGACCCGCTGACACCATGAGGAGGGCAGAGGGAAAAGAACTGCAGAGAAGTCAAGCCAGAGCGTCAATAACATCATGAACCTCTGGATCAAACCATGCCTGAAACCCACAGCCGCCTCTGCATTATTCTATTACATGAGCCCATAATTCCTATTTTGATTGGATTTTCTGCCTGTTATAACTCAGAGAGTCTAAACAGATACCAGAATTCACCAAATGTGGCCAGTAGCTATTTTGGGAGGGCAAATAACGAGGGAACTTCCATTCTTCAATGTACGTGTTTTATATCATTTGCAGTTTTACAATGAATATGCAGCAAAATCAATGCTGGTGTTTCTATCTGGAGCAAACAAGCTGGCCATGGGCGTGTGGCTTGAAGAATCGGTGGCAACTCCCAGCATGTGATGATCTCAGTAATAAAGGAGGAGGGAACTGGGGGGGAAAGATGGCAGCTTTAACCCGGGGCACGGGAGGCTTCTAGGGAGCCCACATGGGGACTTTCAGGGGCTGGCACTTAGGAGGAAGAAACGGAGGCAAAGGAGAGTCAAGGTGGGGGCCAAGTGGCAGGGCTGAGGAAGGCCGCGGACCATAGCCCATGGCCAAGGCCTTACTCATCAGCGAAGCACATGATGCTTCTCCCCGCAGTATACTCCCTTCAGGGGCTGTTACAGTGCCTCAGGCACCCCCATTGTTGGAACTGATGACTAAGGCCAGCTGTGAGTGGCAGAACCCATCAATCTGTACATTTCTTGGAAGTGGCCTTCCAGTCACCTTCCATTAGCACGGGTGGCAGGGACCCCTCAGATCCAGCTGACAAGTTGATTCCTCAAGCCCGAGCTGATGCTCTGAGGATGGGTGTAAATTACAGCAGCAACATGCTTCTATCTGAGGCTTTTCACTTCTTGGAATGACATCCCACCCACAGGCTGCTTTGTCTGCCAAGGGTCCTGAGATGTAGGCCAGACAGCCTTCTGCCTCAGTTTCACACAGAAAGAAATTTAGGCACAGAGACGCCAAGCAACTCGCTAAGAATCACACAGTGAGGCAGAATTTGCTAGAATTTGAACCCAGTTCTCCTGCCTTCTGACCTGGTCCCCTTTCTATTGCCTCCTGCTGGTCCTCACAGCAGGGGTTGGGGCAGGGAATTGTTTTGGGTGAAGATCAGCTGATGAGGCCTTGAGAAGGCCTGGCAGGGACTGGGGAGATGGGTGGTAACGAGGTTCCCTGAAAGAGTGAGGGGAGGTATCCCAGCCAAGGGGTTGGGCTTCTGCCCGATCCCCACATCTGCCCTGGGCCCACCAAATATCCTTCCCTGTGCCCTAACTGCTCAGTCCCTGGGCATCACTTTGAACCTTCAAACATCCTATTATGAGCCCATTTTACAGGCAAGGAAATGAAGCTTCATAGAGGTTAGGTCATTTGCTTAAAGTCACACAGCTAGTGAGGAATGGAGGTCTCTGGCCCGTTGGAGCCCAGAGCCTGTGCAAAGGCCCTGAGGTGGGACCCCTGCACAAGATGCACTAAAAGAACAGTAAGGAGACCAGCAGGCTGGGCCCGGAAAGGAAGCCGAAGAGGCCCTTTTCAGCCCCATCCAAATCCTACTTTCTCAAGCAAAAGGCTCTGGCCTCCACGGGATGTGGCTTCCTGCTCAGCGAAGCAAGGTTCCATCCATCCTGGCCTTGGTTTCCTGTTTGGAGTGGAGAGGCCCAGAGAGATGCTTCTGGAGTCAGGAGAAGTAGCAGCGGCTTCAGGGGCGAATTGTTACTTTTTTTTAAAGACCCAGAAAGTGAGAGAAGTCGGTGAGGGCGGAGGGGGGACTCAGCGATGAGGCCAGGCCTTTTCTCCGGCCTGCTCCACCTGGGATCCCCATCTTCCAGGGCAACGCAGGGTGGTCAGGGCTTTGGGGGCTGTTGGAACCGGTTCTCACGCTCCCGTAGGGGGCTAGGCGGCTGGGCCACGTCGCGCCTGACGCCAGGCGGCGGGCACCCGGCGATCCCCGAGCGCCCTGCCCGCGGGCGGGGTAAGCGTCCGCCGGGAGCGCGCGGACAGGCGCGCGCACCCCCCCCCCACACACACACACAACGCACACGCGCTCACGGAGCTGGCGGAGGAGCGGAAAGGAAGCAAGAAGTGAAAGTGAGCAACCTCTAGTGAAAGAAAAAGACATGCACAGACATCTCGGGAATTGATGCCGGTGGCGGCGAGCTGGGCGCACGCACGCGGCGCGTTCCCGGCAGCTGGGCGCGTGCTTGGCGGCCCCGCGGAGGAATCGCCACTCTGGGCCAGGCGGTCGTTGGGGTCGCTCGCGTCCCCGAGGGCCAGCGGCGGCCAGGCTCCCTCCCCTTTCCCTGGTTCGGGCCGCCTCCGCCTCTTCTCGCCCCGGCCGGCACTGTGCTGGGCAGGCACCCAGCGGTGCTCGGATGTGTGCCCGCCGAGCCCTGCGGCCCCGGGCGCTGGCCAAGTCCTGCTGCTAGGCCCGGGCTTTAGCCCAGAGCCCGAAGGACCCTTACTTAGCGTTTGAGCCCTTTCGCCCTCTCCCCTTCCCCACCGTCTGCACTGACTGCCCTTCCCCGTGGCTCCCTGGAACGCCAAAGACCCTGCAGTGGTCGTTGCTCAGGTGGCCTTGGATGAGAGCCAGTCCCCCGTCTCCCAGAGAGAGAACCTCCAAGTGACGGCGTCCTGGGAGGCCAAGGGCCACTTGACTGGTGAGAACAGCTCCCAGACAGCGGCCCTGGGGCCTCGGAAGCCCCCCTCCCCCAGCCTTCCCTTCCAGAACCAGCTTTTCCAGCTCGGCAGCCGAGTCAGGTTTCTGGCGAGTGTGGATTTGTTTTCCACCCCTGGGGCTTGGGTGGGAAGAGCGAAAACTGGGAAGCTGGTTGCCCACGTAGTGTTCTGCCATTGCCGCACCCCTCCTGCAGAGGCGCCCCAGGGACCCTCACAGCTGAAACAAACTCAGAAACCAGGCCCCGTCTCAACAAAAAAGGCACAGATGCTGGGGTGCTCGTCGAGTCGGGCCTTTTGGACAGACATCAGGTAGAAGCTGTGAATAGCATTGCAAGGGCTGCAAAGTCTGGAGCTCTTGGTGGGCAGTAAATAGCACCAGTGTTTCTGAAGACACAGAGAAGGGCGTGGCTTCTTTCCAGGGGTGAGCAAATTGGTGGCAGAGTTGGATGACCCATCCCAGACCTTGTCTCCGCTGGGTAAGGTTCCGGGGTCCTGCAGGGTGTCCCCTTCTGAGCTAGGATGCTGAAAGAAAACACTTGTCCCAGGCCTCCCAGAGCTCATAGCCTAATGGGAGCCAGAGAAGTAAACGATCAAAATACGGTGTGCTGGGCTTCCCTGGTGGCGCAGTGGTTGAGAGTCCGCCTGCCGATGCAGGGGACGCGGGTTAGTGCCCCGGTCCGGGAGGATCCCACATGCCGCGGAGCGGCTGGGCCCGTGAGCCATGGCCGCTGAACCTGTGCGTCCGGACCCTGTGCTCTGCAACGGGAGAGGCCACAGCAGTGAGAGGCCCACGTACCGCAAAAAAAAAAAAAAAATACGGTGTGCTGAGAGCTCCGAAGAGGCCTGAGGCAGGGAGGCATCCCAGAGGAGGTGAAGTCGGACTGAAAAGTTGCGGGAGAGCAGGGCAGGCTCAGGAGGCTGCGGACCGCAGAGGCCTCACATTCCCAGGCTCTGCAGACTGCCAGGTTGCAGAGAGCTGGAGACACCATGAAAATGGAGATGAGGATCCCTCCAGAGACTTGGGGCTGCCTTTCACTCTAAAGATGGAGAAACTGAGGCCTGAGAGGTAGGGCAGGCTGCCCCGGGTCACCCAGCTGGCTAGACTTTGGGCTACACCCTGGCGCATAGTACGTGCTAAATAAATGGAACTATGAGGTTTGGATCCCAGGAGCCAGGCCCCGCCCTCTCTCCCTTCCTACAAATCCTTGTTGAGTACCTTCCAGGTGGTGATTAAGACACAATAGCCTGATAAATGCACGTTTTAAGATAATGTTAGCTGTCGATAAGTGGTGTGATGGTGCGTGACTAGGGGTACTGAGGAAGGGGCCTCTGAGCTGAAGGATGGGGGGGGGGCAGCCCTAAGACCATGTGGAGACCCGGTACACCAGATAGAGGGAATGGCAAATGCAAAGGCCCTGAGGCAGGAACATGTGTAAGAAGAGCAGAAAGACAGTTGTGTGGCTGGAGCACAGGGAAGGAGGGGTATGCAGGCCACGAAGAGGAGCTGGGGTTTGATTTCAAGTACATACCTCACGTGTGATTGGCGTGGAGCCAGCCGGAAGAGCCGCTGTGGGAGAACCCACGCGCCCTGACCGCAGCGGGCCAGGGAAGCAGCTCTGGGATGAGGACTTGGGCTGCGCGTCGTCTGCTCTTCATTCCCCTGACTCCTTCCACCGCAGCATGTTCCGGGAGCCCGTGGCCAGGAGGGCGGGATGTAGTCATCCGCCCCAGGCAGGGCGCTGCTTTGGCTTCCCTTCCCCGCGTCCTCTGGGTCACCCTGGTTTGCAGCCACCAGGGGAAGGTCGTCACCACCATCACCGTCAGAAGCATCGTGGTGGGAAACATTTGTCGAACGCTCACTATATACCAGGTCCTGGGCCGTGCCTTTTATGCGTGTCTGTGAGCTTGGTGTCCACTTTACAGGTGCGAAGGCGAAAGAGGCAGAAGCATCCAGCCGAGATTACACGTTTGTTGTGTTCCAGGGAACGTCTGGGCCTTGAGTGGTGGAATGGGCTGGAATGTTAGCGCTGAAGCCCCGCTGGAGCTAGAGTCTTTGCTGGGACTGGGATTGGAGGCTGCAGAAAGCGAAAAGCGGCAAGGTCGGCTGCAGGTCATGGAGAAGCAACAAACGTGAGAGAAGGATCATGATGTTCCTCCAACCCTGAGCAAGAAGTAGCATAAACAGACACAGGTGTAAACACACACCTGCACACACTGGCATATAGAAACGCGTGGACCCCAGTACGTGCACACACATGCGTGACACACACACGCAAGCACTGGGTGCCTGTGCACACGTGCACGCACCCGTGCCCGCGCACATACTTGTGCACGTGTCCGTGAACGCACCGTACCCACACGTGAGCACACCTCAGCGCACGTGCACGCGGACACAAACCCAGTCCATGCTCACAGAACTCCATCATAGACCATCTGCATACTTCTTTTCTTAGCAATTATCATGGTTCATTCATTCATGCAACAAGCATATGTTGAGCCATTTTCGGTGCCTGGTCAGGGGGTGGGCACAGCACAGCCAGCCAAGAGGACCCACAGCTTCAGCCTGACTTTCTCTGAGCTCACAGTCTAGGCTGGGAGAAGACAGACGGGAAACAGTGGACTGAAATCTTCAAGGATGTTTGTCACCGGGGCCCTGGAGGAGAAGCACAGGGAGCTGTGGGGCTGGGGGTTGGTCCGTGGGGGCTTCCGAGAGGAGGTGTGTTTGCATGAGTGAGGGGACCAGGCTCTGGTCAAGTGACAAGTCAGGAGACGGTTTGACCGGAAGGAAGAGGCTAGCGTGGTGGGGGGGAGAAACTCGGACAGGCCTGAAGAGCATGGGGGAGGTGTCTGCTGACCCATGCTGGCCAGCTCTGGCCCAAGAGTGCCCATAGACCGACTCCCTCCCCTCACTGGGAGCCCCGAAGGGCGGGGCCAAGGCGGGTGTCTCCTGTCTGTGCCCCCACTCCCAGCACCCAGCACAGGTGAGTGCTGGTGCCTTACATAGGAGTCTGGTTCACAGTCTGGGAGCTGCCACAAGTGATACGCTCTCTCTCCCCTCCCCCTCCCCTCCCTGTCTCTCCTTTTCTCACCACACACAGCCCTCAGTTTCTCTACCTGGGCAGTGGGTGGCTACCAGCACCTTCCTCACTGAGCCGTGAGGGTGAGTTGATGGGAGCCTGCCAGAGGGGGCTTGGGCTGCTCCCCATTTCTCTAGGCAACGATCAGTGCTGGCAGCTGGCAGGGGGCAAAACCACCCCCCACCCTATCCCAGACCCTACTGTACCCCCATCTCACACACACACACACACACACACACACACACACACACACACACACACAACTGCGCCGCATACAGCCCCACACCCCATTACACATCTCACACATCCCCCCGCCACCACGCCTACACTACACGCGCGTGCGCGCACACGGCGCGCTCACGGGGCCACTGGGGAAGCCCAGCCAGGCTCACTCTCCCCCCACCAGCCAGGCTCACTCTCCCCCCACCAGCCAACCTCCCCCTTGAGTCCCGGGCAGGGCAGTGACAGACAGCCCGCAGACCACCGCGACACACCACCTGACCGGGGCTGCAGGGCTCTACTCATTGATCCAGAGATGCTCTTTCCTTTTCCTCAGGCGCTTCTCTGAAGGATGGAAAAATCGATGCCCACGGAAGAGCGGGTGCAGGGAAGGTGTGGACAGCAGCGGAGGGGAGAAGACCAAGGGCGGGGGGGAGTCAGGCGCCTGGGGTCCCTCCGCTGCGGCACTGGCTGTTCCCCATCTCCCAGAGCAAAGTCAGAGGTCAGTGTGGTCAGCACAGGCCCGGTGGTGTGGTTTTGGTTTTCATTATTTTGTTCTGATTACCAAAGCTGTGCGTGTTCGTGTAGAAAATCAAAATCACCAAATCCATCCCCCGAGGTAACCTCCCCGTTAACGTGCATAGTAAATCCTTCCAGCCTTTTTTCTCTGCAAGTTGAATGCACTTTTTATTTTTGCAAAAGTAGGACGTGCTCAACTGCTGTTTTCCATCCGACACTCTGCAGCCAGGATCCCTCTGTGCCGTTACCTGGTGATCTGCTGGCTGCACCATGAGTCATCTTGTTGCGTGGTGGACATGTGCACAGTACAGGGCTTGGGGTCAGGAATTGGCCCCTTGCTTACGTCACGTCGGGCAGGTGGCCTCCACCCTCTGACCTTGCCATCCTCCTCTGTGTGGTGGGGCTACTGCTGACTGCCTTACAGCCTTGTGGTGAGAATTACATGAGGCAAGAGACAGAAAGTACTCATTCCTTGCGGAGCACATCAAAAATATTCCATCCACTTCAGGTATTATTATTTTTTATCCTTATGGTTACATGGCAAAACCATCATTTACTTAGCCAACCCTCTGTCATCGAACATTTAGGCTGTTTATTCAAATTCCCTTAACGAAGAAGCCTTTAGTGAATATCCTTGCCGAGAATTCTTTAACAAATGCTCAATTATTAATTTTGAGTGATTTCTAGGAGAAAAGTTTTCCATGTTAGGAAAGGTATGCACGTTTTAGGACCAGTCTGTCTGCATACTCCCACATTGCCCTCCTGAAAATGTTCTGATGACACGGTGTGAGTGTCCTAGGACTGACTGCCGTGACAAATTATCACAAATTTGGTGGCTTAAAATAAAGAAATTTATTCCCTCACAGTTCGGGAGGCTAGAAGTCCAAAATCAGGGTGTCAGGTTTGGTTTGGTTTTGTCTTTTTTGGGTTTTTTTGGGGGGGTGCCCACACCGCGTGGCTTGTGGGATCTTAGTTCCCCAACTAGGGATCGAAGCCACACCCTTGGCAGTGAAAGTGTGGAGTCCTAACCACTGGACCGCCAGGGGATTTCCTCTCTTAGCTTCTTTCAGTTGACTCGTAGCCCCCTCACCCCAGTCTCTGCCTCTGTGGTCATATCACCTCTTCCTCTGTCTATTTTTTCCCCATATGCCTCTTACAAGGACATTGTCCTATAATCCAGGATGATCTCTTCATCTCAAGATCCTTAATTATATCAGCGAAGACCCTTTTTTTCAAATGAGGTAACATTCATGGGTTGTGGGGTTAGGACATGCTCATGGCTTCAGGGGGCTACCACTGAACCCACACACACTCCTACCAAGGAAAGAGCGTTGTGTAAAATTCCTTTTTCCCCTCACCACACAGGATATTCTAATCTTTTTGAAATGTTTGGCCAAGTTGATAAGGTAAAAAGGATCTCTTGCTTCAAAGTGCATTCTGTTCTGTTCTTTTCTTTTACTATCAGTGAAGAGAAACATATTTTCATCTGCTCGCTGGTCATTTGTTTTTCTTATTTTGCAATTCTTATTTCACATGCTTGTTGGCCATTTTTCTTATTGTTTTACTGATTCATGTCCTTTGCTCAATTCCTTATTAGGTATTAATTGTCTTCTTCTGCTTGTGTGAGAGCTCTTTGTAGATTAAGGATATTGAACCTTTATTATATCTTGTAAATATCTTCCTAATTGGTCACTTGCTTTGGGGGTTTTCTCATAGTTCTTCAATGTACATAACTTTTAAATTTTTTTGTAGTCAAAGCTTCGAGAGCATTTTACCATCAGGCTTTTCCCACTGACATTATTTTCATCTAGCCCTTTTACAGTTTCACTTTTATATTTAATTTTTTGTTATCTCTGCAATTTATTTTAGTGATGGTGTATGTTAAGGTGTATTGCTTCCCCCCCATTATTGAACAGTTGTCTTAATACCACTTAATAAATAGTTCATATTTTCCCTATTGATTTTAAATGATACCTTTATAATATATTCAATTTGACTTCTGGTTCCAGTGACCTAGCAGACTGAGCTAATGGTGACACTCCCCTCACTCCTTATGCTAAGGAACATCAACAAAACTTAGCACAGCAACAGAAATAATTAATCTTGAAAAAAAGAATGGGAAACTCCTAGGTCCTGGAAGTTGGGAGGGGAAAACCAGAGCCAGGAAATATTCCGTAACATACAACCCCCAAAAGGGGCAAGATCCTCTGTGAAGAGGTGCTGACAGATAAAAAATAGAAACAACAGGAGGAAATGATCTACCACAAGGGATAATTAGCACAGTGTGAAACTGAGATCATAGCACAGTCTGAAAGAGACTATAAACCAAGTGTGCGTTAAATTATTAAAAGAAAAAAAGGCACCATAAGCAAATAAAAAGATACCTTAAAAAAGAGGCAGATTTGAAGGAAAACAAAGATCTAAGAATGAAAAACAGCCACTGAAACTAAATTTTCAATGGGTGTGTTAAATAGCAGATTAGACACAGCTGAACAAATGTTCATGAACTTAAAGATAGAACTGAGAAAATTACTCAGAATGCAGCCTACAAAGATAAAAAGATAGAAAGACCAAAAATAGAAGCAAACAGGATAGAGTGAGGAGGTCTGACATATGTCTTAGAGGAGACCTAGAAGAAGGGAGATTATGAGGAAAATGGAGGAGAGATCGTATTCAACATGATAATGTCTGAGAATATTCCAATAGTGATGAAAGACACAACTCCTCAGATTTAAGAGGTGTATTAATTCCAAGAAGGATAAATAACAGTTAATCTACACCTAGATATAGATACTAAATATGTAATACTAAAGACAAAGAAAATTACTTAAAGCAACCAGAAGGAAAAACTGTGCTCTCAGCACTTTGCACACTAGCTCTTTAAGTCTTCAAAATAACACTCTTAAACCTTTTAAGAATGGAAAATTGAGGCACAGAAAGTTTAGCTAATCTTTATTACTTCATGTTACTTTAGTAATTCTTGTTACAATAATGGCCCCTGAAGAATCACACTTCCCCTTGACAGTACCCTTTTGTGATGTGACTTTGCTGCTCCTGCCTTCAAGAGGACACACTCGTCACAAGGGAGAATCTTAGTCTATTTCCCCACCCTTGAGCCTGGTCTGGCCTTGAGACTTGCTTTGACTGATAGAATGCAGCCAAGATGATGTTGTGTGATTTCCAAAACCAGACCTTAAGGAGCCTTGTAGCTTCTAGTTTTGCTGTCTTAGATCACTTCTGCCCTCTTGTCAAGAAACCCAGTGTAGAATACTGGTGGAAGAGAATTGAGATGACCTACCTGACAGCCAGCACCAACTGTCAGGCTTTTGACTGAGGCCATCTGAATCCTTTACCCCATTCAAACCCCAGATGAGAACAGGCACACGAGTGACTCTAGGGGAGATTAGCAGAAGAACTTCCCAACTGATCCCAGCCCAAATAGCAGAATTGTGAGCAGTAGATACTTGGGCACAAAATTACACAATTATTAATGGCAGGGCCAGGATGTGGACCTAGGCAGCCAAGAACTCCAGGTCATACGCTTTGACCACAATCCCACACAGCCTGCAAAGAAACAACAAAAAACATCAACAACAATAAAGGCCAAAAGAAAATACAGTAATAATATATCCAAGATGATGAAAGAAAATATTTGTCAACTGAAAATGTCTTTCAGCTAAACTACCTTTAAAGAGTGAAAGCAAAATAAAGACATTTTGGACAAAGACTGAGAAACTTTACCACTCACAGAGCTTTGCTGAAAGAACAAATAAAGGATTATCTAAGGAGGAAGGAGATCAAACCCTGTATCAGGTATGTGATGAGCAATGAGCAACTATATTAAAATGTAGGTAAAATCTAAATAAGAGTTGGCTGTAAAAATTAATAATAATAACAACAAATGTAGGCTCAAAACAAGATGGAACCAAAATACTAGGAAATCATACATGGTGATTGGAAGCTATAATTGGAGTTAAATCACTATAAGACTTTGTACTATCTAGGAGGAGGGTGGAGAATTTTGATTTAGATTATACTAAGTCAATTATGCCTGATAAAAATTTAAAGATAACGTCTAAAATGCAGAAATGGAATGTATAACTTTTATACTGACAGAGTGAAAAGGGAAGTGAAGAAAATGCAGTCAGTCCAATAGAGAGCAAAAAAGAGGAGGGAGGGAAGAAAGCTACTGATTTTTTGTATGTTTATTTTATAACTGACTACTTTCATAGAACTCTTCTAATATCTAATACTTTTTCACCTGCTTCCTTTGTGCTTTCAAGTAGACAATTATCCACAAATAATAATTTTGTCTTCTTTTTAGTGGTTGTCCTTTTGTATATGTTTCTTGTCTTATTGCATTGTCTAGAACTTTCAGAGCCATGTAAAATTATAGAGGCATTATTAAGCATCCTTGCCTTATTCTGGACATGGCTCAGAATGCTTCCAGTATTTTACCATTAAACATGATATTGGCTTTTGGCTTGAGATAGATATTCTTTGTCATTGAATTAGTCAGGATAAGTAGATTATGCTGCAGTAACAAATAATGTCAAAATATCATGGCTTGAGAGAAGTTTATTTCTTGTTCATATTCAGTTAGCTGTGGGTTCAGACAGTTCTCTAGGACAGCTGTGACTGGTTCAGCTTTGCGCCTCCACATCACCAAATGCTCCTGTGCTTACTGAAGCAAGGGATATGGAATAGGAGAGTCTTGTACCAGCAATTAAGTCCTTCTACCCAGAAGTGGCACACAGTAGCTCACATGGCCCTGCTTAACCCCAGTGGAAAGTGCAATCCCAGCGTAGAAGGAGGACTGGAAAGATTGGCAAACGTTGCAGATGTCATGGTTCTTAACATGCAGAACCATGTTAAGGAAGCATCCTTTCATTGCTAAGTTTAGACTTGGGACCCTGAAAGACCCTAATAGTCAACTTGAAAAGTCAATTGGCACTGGCCGTCTGATCAGTAGCAGAGGATGCTAGCGTAAAGAAAAAGGTGAAATCATGCATTCATAGGCCCTGATGGCTACTGTCTCCAATGGAGCTCAGCTATACATGTCTCCCTCTTTAATTCCATGAGGGCTCTGAATCTTTATAAGGAATTTTCCCCTTTTCTGAGCTCATTTGAGCAGATTTCTGTTTCTTCTGCCACAAAGAGTCCCAACCAGGATAATTTGCTGGTGCTTTATTTAGGATTTTTGTCATATTCTTAAGCAGGACTGGTCTATAGTTTTGTGCTATCTGCCAACTCTTCGTTTTAAGGTTATGCTACTTTTTTTTTTTTTTTTTGCAGTACGCGGGCCTCTCACTGTTGTGGCCTCTCCCGTTGCGGATCACAGGCTCTGGACGCGCAGGCCCAGTGGCCATGGCTCACGGGCCTAGCCGCTCCGCGGCATGTGGGATCTTCCTGGACTGGAGCACGAACCCGCGTCCCCTGCATAGGTAGGTAGACTCCCAACCACTGCGCCACCAGGGAAGCCCCTATGCTACATTTTTAAGATAGCTGGGGAAGTTCTCTATCTTTCCTGTATCCTGAAACAGAATGTTTGAAATATTTGAATATTTGCCAGTAAAAGTGTCAGCGCCAACACTTCTCTAGGAAGTAGCTCTTTACCTACCTTTTCAATTTACTCTGTAGTAATAGATTTTTTTTGGTTTTCTTCTACTTGTTGGATTGGTTTTAGTAATATGTATTTTCCTACAAAAATATCTGCTATTCATATTTGCAAATTTATTATCATAAGGTTTTACTTAATATAATTAATTTAAAAAATATTTGTTCCTATTGTGCGTTCATTTCTCTCTGCTTACTATCATTGGATCTGCTAGAAGTTTTCCTAATTTATTAGACTGCCCAAAAAAACAAGTCATCGATTTATCTTTTATTTCTATTTTTCTCTTCTCTAATTTCTTAAATTCTGGTTTTTATCTTTTTTGCCTTCCGCCCTTTCTTATTTAAAAAATTCACATCAGTGAGCTATGAATTTTCCTCCCTGTTACATTTTAACCACCTTCCCATGTGTTCAGATATGTGGTATTTGCAGCATTATTATTTTAAAATAGCTTGTCATGTAGGTTTTATTTAGAGTTATTTACAAAAATGGTTATTAGTTTTCAAAAGGTTGGCTTTTTAATTTAAATTTTTGTTAATAATTCCTAGCTTAATTGCATTGTGGTCAAAGAATGAGGCTTTCGGGGACTTCCCTGGTGGCGCAGTGGTTAAGAATCTGCCTGCCAGTGCAGGGGACACGGGTGGGTTCAAGCCCTGGTCCGGGAAGATCCCACATGCCGCGGAGCAACTAAGTCTATGCGCCACAGCTACTGAGCCTGCGCTCTAGAGCCCGCGAGCCACAACTACTGAGCCCATGTGCCGCAACTGCTGAAGCCCGCGCACCTAGAGCCCGTGCTCCGCAACAAGAGAAGCCACCGCAATGAGAAGCCCGCGCACCGGCAACGAAGAGTAGTCCCTGCTCACCCCAACCAGAGAAAGCCCGTGCGCAGCACCGAAGACCCAACACAGCCAAAAATAAATAAACAAAATAAATTAATTAATTAATTAAAAAAAAAGAATGGGGCTTTCACTATATGTGTTTTGGGGATTATATTGAATTTTTCTTTATGGCCTAATATATGATCAATTTTCATAAATGTTTGATGGGTTCTGGCAAAGAAATGAGTATCTTTTGTTTGTCGGGTACAAAGTTCAATTATTAAATCAACCTTAATAATTATATTTTTCCAGTCCTATACAAACATGGGAGGGGGAGAACATTATGTAAATATGTCAAAGACAGAAGTATGTTAAGTCTCCTCCAGTGTTTTTTGTTGTTGTTGTTGTTACCTTTCTATGTATCTAAGTTATCACTTCCTCTGGTCAGGTCTAATGCAATGTAGGACATAAAAGATTGTGACAATCAGATCTTTATTGTGACTTGTACTCTTCATCAATTCAGAGGACCTCTGTCCTATCTCCTGCTTTTTGCCTGTGATTCTTGGTCTGATATGAATATTACTACCCTTGCTTTCCTTTGATTTGAACCTGTCTCATGTAGCTTTGCGCAATCTTTTATTTTTAACTGTTTCATGTCCTTTGGTTTTAAGTGTATTTCTTACAAGCACCGTATAGTTAGATTTCCATCTTAGTTTTTGTTTTATCCAATCTGAGAGTCTTTGGTATTTTACTAGGAAAACATCATGCATTTACATTCATTGTTAACATTGACCCTGCACATCTCACTTCTATGGAAAAGCTGGTCTCCACCTTTTTCTCTTCATCCTCTCAGCTACTTCCTTTTGTTCCTGCATTTTGTTTTATGGACTTTGACTTTTTGCTTTAGTCTTTTGCAGACTTTGGTTAGTAGCTATTTCATTTCTAATTGTACTCGAAGTTATCTTACATTGATAAAAGTCTTTCATTTGTAGCTGCCTGATCATTCAAGGAGAAACAGTGCATCCTGAATCCCTCTTATTTAAGAGGTCTCTCAGGTCCCTTTTGATCCACATTGATGTGACTTAAAGCTCTAGATTCAGATGGTCAGATTATTATTTTTCCATTCTATGATTTGTCATTTAAGAACAATTTTTGACACTTGTCTTTAGTCTGGAAGTGATACTGACAATAAATCTTTAGACTTGCTGCTTTTTAGCTGGTTTCAGGCTTCTTAAGACACAGGGGTTATCATTCTTAGACTCCCAGCTGATGGGAGCATATCTTTCGGTAACAAGTGCTCAGTATTTCCCCCAAACCTCATAAACATGGCTCCCTCATCACTTAGCATGTCACAATCTAAACCAGCCTGGGTTTGTTCTTTTATAAGTAACTCACTTTCCTTCCTGCAGGCATATACAAGTTGTCATTATTTGTATAAATCACATTGTTTTCCAGAATGTCTCAGTAGAGGCCTCTATTTTTTTCCCCCAGAATGCAGTGAACCTTTGCAATCTGCATATTCAGATCTTTTTGTTTGGTTTTAAGGCACAGGTGAGTTTTCCTCATTATATTCTAAGCTATCTCTTATTCTAGCCTTTTTTTTCAAGAATCCCAGTTATGCGTTTGCTGTCTGCTAATCCTCACGACTTTCTCACGCTTTGTTTTCATCTCTCGATTTCTGCCACACTTTTTAGAAAATGTCTCAAGGTTGGCCTCTCCCCATCACTGATTGCATTTTCTGCATTTCAATTTCCGCTTTTCACTGTCTCTAGTATGGACTTGAACTCTGCTACTATGTTTTTTCTCTCCTTGCGATCTTTCCTAACCCCATCTGTCTTAGTTTCCTCGGGCAGCTATATGAAACGACGGCAACTGGGTGGCTTTAACACAACAGAAGTGTGTTCTCTCACAGTTCTGGAGGCCAGAAGTCTGAAATCCAGGTGTTGGCAGGGTTGGTTCCTTCTGGAGGCTCTGAGGGTGAGTCTGTTCCATGCCCCTCTCCTGGCTTATGGCATTTCTTGGCTTGTAGCTATATCACTCCAATCTCTGCCGCTACCTTCACACGGCCTCCTCCTGTTTCTCTCCTGTCTGTGTTTCTTTTTTAATATGGACACTTATCATTGGATTTAGGGCCCACCCAGTTCATCCAGGATGATCTCATCTTGAGATTCTTAATTATATCTGCAAAGACCCTTTTCCCAAGTAAGGTTACATTCGCAATTACCAAGGGGTAGGACTTGGACAGGTCTTTTTGGAGACCACAGTTCAAGGCACTACACAGTCCACGTCCACGTCCCTTTTTTTATAGCCTCATGCTGCCTTTTCCCATCTGTCGGGGCTGCCCTGTGCTTTCCCGCTCCTGTTTTGCAGAGCACGTCTTTCCGTTAAGGTTGCCACACCGTTTCCTGACGTCTTCTGGTTCCTTTAGGAAACTGCTGTGAGCCGCCTGCTCTCGTGTTGCAGAATGCTGATTCCCTTTCCATGCTCAGCAGTGTTCTTTCACAGTCCTTTGTGGTTGATGCTTTTGCCTCCGTATTGTCCCTCAGACACAGAAACATTAACCCACACTCCAGGATTTTAAGTAGACAGGATGTGTAGATTGCCTCTGGTCCTGTCCTCTTATTACTTGTTTGGTGGCTCCATCCCATTCTCAGGGTTTGGTCTGGGCAACAGGATCAAGTGGGCTTTGCTCAATCCATGTCCCAGTTTCCAGCAGGTTCTGCCAATTGCAGCCCAGCTGAACGAAGGTGGCATCCGCTCTGGTCCAGCTAAATGGTTCTTGGATTTTCTGAACAGATAAAATAAGCAAAAGTCCCAGCATGCACTGCTACTGGGGAGTTTCCTAGTGTTCTCCTCACCCCCACTCCCCCTACAATGATCACCTTTGCTTCCCAGAATCCCATGCATCATGAAAGACCCCTGCTTGCCCACTTTCTCTCAATGACTAGGGGACATTACTCCAATAGCATCTGTGGGAGAGGGACAGCTATCCAGTTTTCAGAGTGGCACAGATTCCGGGTCTCTGACTGGGGGCAAATGATGGAGGAGGTTCTGAGCCCCTTCCTGCCTTTGTCCCCGGTCTCTCTCCAACACCGGCCCCCCACCCCCACTATTGTCATCAGCATGGGCTCCTCCCAGATCCTGGCATGGGGCTGGCAGCTGTTCCCCACAATGCATAAGGTTTCATATTTCTCACTACGTTCATGGGTATTTAGTGGAAAACTAAGAATGGCTCTATCAGGGTTTCTAGTTACATGTCATCTTATATAGAAGTCCACAGGTTTTTAGTGCTTTTTTTTTTTTTAAAGCTCAGACTCACTCATTCATGCACATTTATTTATTCAAAAAAAGTAGTGTGTTCACGGCTTGGCTTCCTAGTGGATGTCAGGATAAATCAGCTAATGATACAGGAGAGTTCTGCAAAGATGGAGGAATAGGGAAAAGCCCAGGCCCCCGCCTCTTCCTTCCTCCGCTCTGCAAACCTGACTTCTCCAGAGATCTCTGCATCTTGAAGACCTTGTTCTTGTGCTCCCAAATTAGCAGTCTGTGAAATCAGACACATTTATTGAGAACTTTCTTTTGCTCCAGGCAAAAGTAAGGGGAAAGGAAGTAGCCTAGGGGAGAGGAAGATAAAATCGTTAGGATTCCTGCCCTCATGGTACACAGCTTCCACTTCCCTGCTGTAGAGCACGGTGCCTGTTTTCATCATGGTTTGTGATGATTATTTGAATAATCACCTCACTAGACTCCTGTCAGACTGGCAGCCCCGTGAGTGCAGGAACAGTGTCTGTATCCTTGTTTGTTAGCACAGCTGGGACTGGATAGGGCCGCCTGAAGGACAGGCCATCTGAGCTGGGCTCTGAAGGGTGGATAGGAGTTCTGTGTAGATAAGGAGGGGGGAGCAAGAGAGAGAGGCGAAGTCTCTCTCTCTGGGGTCTCCTCAGCCCAAACCTGACCCTCCTTCTTGGCCTAGTTCTCACTGTGGTTTCTGCTGCGACAGGGAGAAAGTTCCCCTCTGGATCTCCTTAGAGGCTGAACAGCCCCATGTCTGGGCAGTGCTCAGAGAAGGATGAGGTCTGCAGGAATTGATGGCCAGGTTGCCTAGGCCTAAGAGCTCAGCTGGGGAGAATGGACAGAGGCCCATGTTTGCCTCCTCTGGGCTCCCTTCCTTTATCTTTTCAAAGCAGATATAAGTGGTGCCCGTCCCACCGTGGCAGCCGCGGGTTGTGATTACTTTCCAACAGGCACGTTCATGGCTGGGTCTCCTGGATGGGACCCAAAAGCCATTTGCCCGGGAGGCAGAATCTGAGTCAGGTCCAGCTGGGTCTTCCCATCTTTTATTTGCCCAATCCTATTAATAATTAACGATACAGTAATGAGAATTGCTTTTAATAGAATCCGCTGCCATGGCATTCTGTTCCCCGCCAAGGGTTTCCCCCAGAAGGATTCACGGTCACATGGCTGTACCTCCTGCCACCTCACTGGAAGGTCCCCTGCCGTTGTCCTTCCCTCCTCTCTTCTGGGCCTGAGCCCCCTCCCTGCTGACCTGGAAGCCCCACTTTCTCCTCTACCATTTCCTGTCCCCTCCCTGAAGCCCCGCCCACCAGCCCCTCCAGGTTCCCGCTGTGGCGTGAGGCCGCCCCATCCACCCAGCCAAGCCTCGTCTGTCACCAGGGCAAACTGGTCCCACTGGGCAGGGACACGGACGCCCCCGGAAGCAGCTGTGTGCCCAGCCTGGGGCAGGCGTGAGACCCACACTGTGCGTACAGAGGCTGACACTGGACCCAAACTCACTTCCAGCAAAGGTCAGTAGGATGGGTGTGGAGGAAAGGAAACCCGGCCAGGACGGCTTAAGTCCTGGCTTGGCCACTGTTTATGGGACCGTGGCGAGTGTTGTCACCCCTGCCTCCAGCCTCAGTTTATTCACCTGCAGAATGGGGATGAAGATGGTCCCCACCCCACCAGAATGTTCTGGGGAGAAGGGGAACGCAGCAGATTTCAGGGGAAGCTCCTTAATACTCACTCCCAGAAAATACCCACGGCGTGCCCAGGGTTTAGCTATCGTGATGCTATTCTCTGTGGCCTTATTTATGATATCACAACTTGGAAACCACCTCCGTGTTCAATAATAGGGGATTGGCTCAAATAAGTGTGAGCGTACCAACACTGTGGGCACTCAGCTGCTGTTGGAAAGGGGGCTCGGGCCTGCTTCTGTGCCTAAGAGTCTCCTGGGACTCCTGGCGCCATGCAGTTCTGGGGGCCCGGGGCTGAGATCCTGCACTTCTTGTTTGTGTGTTTGTTTGCCCTCCAGCACAGCTTGCAGGATCTCAGTTACCTGACCAGGGATTGCACCTGGGCAGTGAAAGCCTGGAATCCTAACCACGAGGCCACCAAGGAACTACCCCCTCCCCTGCCCCCAAGATCCTGCACTTCTAACAGCTGCTGCTTGGGGAGCACTCTCTGGGTACCAGCGGGTAGAGGCCTTGGGTGGCGGAGAAGTTTGAGTTCTGCTGGTGAAAGGAAGAACCAGGTTGCAAACCAGAATGTTCTGTGATCCCCTTGCTGGGCTCAAAGCAGAGCTCATGCTGCATACCCAGTACAAAGTCTGGAGGCTAGAGGCTCAGGCACTCAAAGTGCTACGGATGGGTGATGAATTATAGATCATTTCGATTTTTCTCTTTGGTTTATCTTAATTTCAAAATTATCCACAGTTAACGTGTATTACTTTCGTAAATGGAGAAAAATGTAATTTTCTTTAGAAAAAGAACAACTGTTCTCTGCCCTTCCCTACAACACAAGTCAGGGTGATATTCAGCGTGGAAAGATGGGAACGCTGCGGAGACGAGGATCAGTGTGGATTCCGGCCTCGCTCCAGAGCCTGTGTGCCGGGCTGTGGGCTGGCCTGAGCCAGCCATGAGGCTCTGGTGCTCAGCACGTCCCTATGCCAGGCTAAGCCCTCTGCACCCAGCGTCCCCGTCTCCCATACCCCCAGGAGGGGATCAGCACAAGGCACTGGTACCGGCTCCACTTCGCAGCTGAGGGAGCCAGCTGGGAAGTGAAGGACCCATCCAGGGTCCCCCAGCTCCCTGGGGGGTGGGGTGGGGAGGGGCCTGCCAGGAGGAAGCCCCTTCCTCCTTGAAGGTCTTCTTTTGGCCACTAGTCAGGGCAGCCTCACCGGAAAAACAGGTGATGAAGAGCTTTTAAAATTAGCTGGAGTTTTTATGTCCTGGGGGAGGCAATGGGGAGCCATTGAGTGTTCTAAGTGAAGACGAAACGATTCAAGTTGTGAGCAGCTTGGAGCAGAGAGCTGTGGTGACAGGAGACCCAGACCCAGGCCAGGAGGTGATTACAATAGGCTGGGCTGGATAATACAGAACAAGGACAATATTAGTTAACATTTACTCAACTCCTATGATGTCCAAGGACACGATAAACACTCTTCACTTAATCTTTCCAACAGCCTTAGGACGGTGCTGTGGTTCTCCCCATTCTGCAGATGAAGAACTGAGGCTCAGTGCCTCGAGGAGGTGCAGGTGGGATGAGGACCCAGGTCGTGTGACTTCAAAGTGGGTACCCTTAGCACAATGCTACCCCACAGAGAGAACAGAGGGAAAGGAAGATGGGTCCCAGGGAAGGAGTGGGGCGTGAGGATGGAGCTGGAGTGGGATGGGGTGGGATGGAGCCATCCTTTGACCATCACTAGTGACCCCATCTCCCAGGCAGGCCTTGAGCCAAGCTAGAGGATTAGAGATAAACAAGACGCAGCCCCTCCTGGACAGTCTAGTGGAGGTGAGAGACGAGTAGACAGACTGTGGCACAGGAGGGCCAGGGGCACCTCCCCGGAGGAGAGAAAGCCCCGGCTGGGTCCTAAAGAATGAATAGCTGATCCGATGACACAGGAGAGAATTCCAGTCCTCCGAACAGCATGTGCAAGGGCACAGAGGCCAGAAGATAGCTGGTCTGGCTGGAGCAGAGGTGGGGGGCGGGGAGGCTGCAGGTCCCCAGAGCCTTCAAAGCCAAGGGAAGGAGCCGATTGGGGGCATTTGTGTTACTGGGTCATCGTGGGCTGGCATGACACTTCACCAGAACTGCAGGGCCCTTTGTGTGGATCATTGGGGGCCGTCCTGGAGGGGGTCCTGGGAGAGGCTGGTGTGGTGTTCCAGGTGGGAGACGGAGGAGCAGTAGAGGGGGGCACGGTGGCTGGGAGGGGGCGCAGATGTGCGATGCCCTAGGGAGGCAGAGTGACTGCACACTGTGGGAGGCGTGAGGAGGAGAGGAAGCAGGATGGCTGGGTGCCACCCGTGGGCAGTGGTTCCCAGAGAGGGGGCGATGAAGTTTGGGGGACTCACTCGCTCTGTGGGCAGCAGAGAGGGGCAGGTGTAGAGGACCGCTCTCCAGGGTGCCCTGGATGTCCCACACCCTAGCTGTGGTCCTCCCATGGGGCTGCTGGGAAATGCTGGCCCCTGTTGCTGTGGCTGCGGGCCTCCACTACAGGGCTCTGGCTGGAATCTCTGGTGGGGTAGAAGGCACCAGCCCAAATGATGCTGGAGCTGCCTTGAGCTGAGGTAGGGGCGGCATCTCATCAAATCCTCCCTCCAGCCTCTCTCAGCAGGAACATACTTGGGGTAATTTGCAGAGGGGGGAAACTGAGGCCTGGTGTCCTGTGCTCAAGGACACACATCTGGAGGGTGATGGGATCCATCGGAGAGGCTCTGAGACTGTCCCTGGGCACTTTGCTTGTCCAGGCCAGAGGAGGGGGTGGGAGTGCATTGTGACCCCTGCTCTCTGGGAGCTAGCCCTCCCCTGCCAGCCTCTGCCCAGGGACATCAAGTAGTGGGGCGTGGTGTCCTGGAGCCTTGGCGGGAGCTGGCCCTGGAACAGGAGAGTGAGGGGGAAGCAGCCTGCAGAGAGGAGAGGGGAGACAACCCGAGCTGCAGCCTTCCTTAACAGCGTTCCCCTGCTTCCTGGGAAGCAGACAGCCCACTCTGCACAGTGTCACACCGGCACTGTACCCAGCAGATGCAGCCAGAAACTGGCACTGCCCACTGGCCCGGCTCAGCCAGCAGCCAGGACCACAGAGGCTGAGACCCTTGGGCTGGGAGCGCTTGGGTCTCCATCTCTTAATTTCATGGCTGTTACCCAGTTAATTCTCACTGAACCTTGTGGGGTGGGTACTATTACCATCCCCATTTTACAGACGAGGACACTGAGGTCCAGAGAGAATGACATGAGCTGGAGCCTGAAACTCGCAAGGTGCAGGGCCTGCCTTCCCAGTACACACCAGTGAAGCCCAGCTCCTTGAGTGGAGTCCTCAGGCACAGCTGGTGAGGGGGCCTTCATCACCCCACGTGAGTAGCTGGAAACTGAGGCTCAGCCTGGGTGGAGACTGGGGCAAGGTCACACAGTCAGGCTGCAAGGCCCCTTCCCCTGCCCCATGCCACCCATCGGCCTCCCTGCCGACCCCCACAGAGGGGAGTGCCAGGAGGTCCACGGGAGGATGCCCCTTTCTCAGGGCCAGAAGGGAAGAAGAAGAGACAGGGGCGGGTGATCCAAGGTTCTGATCACCTGAGCTGCTGAGACCTGGCTCCGCTTGCCCAGGGAGGTGGCCCTGGCCAGCAGACCCGGGCAGCTCGCCACACACCCAGATGCCCCAGGATGCCCCAGGAGAGTAGGAGTAGTCAGAGCCAGAGCCAGCTTTATCTCATCACATCCATGCATGGTACTGTGGAAGCCAGACCTGGAGGTTCTAGAGCAATGTTCTGGGAGCTCAAAGGAGCCTCAGTCCCCCAGCCTCCCAGGCCAGTACCCCCGCCCCAAGATGGGATCCCCCTGGCAGGCAAACCAAAATCATTTGGGAAATTCTACAAGCTCTGTCCTTGTGTTGGAAACAAACCATCCACGTCAGCCCATGAAGGCACTGAGAAGTCCCGCAAGAAAGAACCCGACTCAATTTTGCTTAATCCGGCCTTGCCCACAATTTACTGAGCCGTGAACTCCAATCTTTCCATGAAATATGTATTAGCATCTGTGGCACATTAAACATGGCCACAGATTCTTTGGCACTCCCGTCATCGAGAGGCGGGGTCTATTCTCCCTTCCCTTCAGCCTGGGTGGGCCACGCGACCGCTTTGACCGGTGAGGACAGCAGAAGCGACACTGGAACAGTTCCAGAACTGGCCTGGCAGCTTCACCTCTTGCCTCTTGGAGCCTTGAGTCTTGACACAAGAAATCCAGTCTCGGTTGCTGGAAAGGGCATAGGATGCAGCAGCAAGATGAGGCCATCCTGGGCACCCAGCCCAGCGGAGCCTTCAGATGACTCCGGCCTCAGCTGCTATCTGCCTACAACTGCATGAGAGACTCCAAGCAAGAACCTGCCCAGCTAAGCCCCATCAACTCCGGCATCACCAGGAAGACTAATAAACTAATGCTTGAAACCACTGCACGGGGGGTGGTTTATCACACAGCAGTGGACAACTGGAACAGCGCCCTACAGACCCCCTCAGGTGATGACCTCCACCCCATCCTCCTTGTCCATCACACCATGCCAGACCCCTCAGTCCTTGCACCACGCCTTTGTTCAGGGCACGCCCTCTGCCTCCTTTTCTATTTGGGAAGATCTTTCTAGACGGAGCTCTTAGGAAGCCTCCACTTTGAAGACTTTTCTAACAACCATCAAGGCAGCTGCAGCAACCCAAGGCTGGGATCTGCCTGGGCTCGCACTTGCCAGCTGTATGAACTGGGACAGGTTTGGGCCTCAGTTTCTTCAGCTGTAAAATGGGGATAATAATGGGAATTACTGCATGAGGCTGTTGTGTAGATTTAACAAGGCAGCAGGGGTAAAGCCTGTGGTAGGTGCTGTATAAATGTGGCCATTACTAGCCGCTCAGTTCCTCCGCTGGCATATGGCCTAACACTGGGAGAGGGGCATTTGCACTCTGGCTGCCCGGGACCAGGCCTTCACTCTCCGCAGGGCAGGTCTCCTGTAGCTCACCCAAGCACGGCCTCGTGAAGCTGCTGGTGCTCAAGGGAGGTTTGGTGGAGGATGAAAGGCTCAGACTCCTCGACCTGTCCTCCTGGGAGGATCCCTGGAGATTAGGGAGCACAGTTCCCTTATTTTTACTGAGACCCAGAGAGATAGTGGGCCTGACCCAAGGTCACACAGCTGGTTCTGGAACTGGACCCCAGGCCTCAGCATGCCATCCCATGCCTTGTCTGACACGGTGGTCCCCAAGTCTCAGGCACTGGCCTCTTTGACTCCTCTAGTCCCTCTTGTGTCCTCCCTGCCCCTGGAGCCTCCTGAGGTGCAAGTTACCCCACAGCCTGATTGCTGGCTCCATGGTGAGACCCACTGGCTGCGGAGGGCACAGCCTGACCGAGGGTCCTCCTCACTCTCCCTTTTCTCTGTTCTCTCCATAGATGCGATCAGCCACGGAATGTGAACTGGGCACCCATAACGTGCCATGCAGAGATGCAAGCTGTCCTGCCAACCACAGACGGCCGTGGGGAAACCCCAAACCTGCATTCGCGGAAAGATGTGGGGATGCTATCAACTACCCCGGCCTGCAAGTGCAGCAGTGTGTGAGAGCCTGACACGTGGCCCAAATCCCAGCCGCTCCTCTCACTAGCTGGGGGATCTTGGGTGTGTTACTGCTCCGAGCCTCACCTTCCCCATCTGTAAACTGGGGGAATAAGAACCTTTCCACCAGGGATGAGCTCCATTTTGGAGAGCGAGGGGCCATGTTGGGCATCTAGACCAACGCCCCTCCTTCAAGATCTGACAGCCCTTCCCACCGCCTCTCCGCCCTTTCTTCCTGTCAGTTCCTAGGTGGGTTCCGGTTCTAAACCCACTTGGGGTGTCCTGGGGCTCAAGGAGGATAGAGTCTAGAACCTTTGGGGAAGATCATAGGGTCCCAGAGAAATCCTTCCTGCAGAGGAAAGGTGGCTGGCATGGGCAGGGCAGGCCTCGGGCTAGGGTCCCACAGGCCTCAGACACCAATGCCAGTCCGTGTGGGAGCCATGGGATTCTCTCTCCCAGGGTTTGTGGGGATGAGTTTGTGTATTTGTTTCACAGAGAGGGGTGTGTGTGTGTGCACGTGTGTGGTGTCTGCCCGGTGCCGGGAGCTGGGGACAGGGAGGGGGTGGTCCTGCAGCTGCCTTCAGTCCCAGGAGAGCTCCACAAGCCAGGCCTGTCCCTGCCTCTGGGGCAACCCCAGGACCCTGATTTGAGAGCATTGCTACTGCCCATTGCTGCAGCCGGATTAGAGCTGAGAGCTTCAAACAGAGCCCTCCTGACAACAGGCCTGGAGGCCGGGCTTAAAGAGGCCGCTGAAATTATAAACAGCCACCTTCCCAGTGACTCCCCAGTCCTTCCGGGGCGGGGGGGGGGGGGATGTTCCACCAGCCCCTTCACCATCTTCCAGTCCAGCCGCCAGCCAGCTTCAGGGAGGGCGGGTGGGGCAAGGAGGAGCTGGCGCCTGTCAGAAGGGTTGTGCTCAAAACAAAACAAACACGAGTCCCTACAGTAAAGGACACACTGGTTTGAAGTTGCAGGGAGCAGGGAGCGTCTGCCAAGAGACCCAGCTGGTGACCCTGAGGATGCTGCCTAAGGATTCCTCCATTATTAAGGAATACGCTCCTTCTCCCCAGCTCTTTTGCGCTTCTGTGTCAGGCTCAGAAATGGCTTAAGGGGAGGGGCTGGCATTCAACTCCGGGGTCTAGGCAACCATGCCATCCATCTGGCCTCGCTGGAATTCAGCTTCCCCACTCCTGGAGGAGAAGAGACAGGCAGGGAGGAGAGACAGAGGGAGCAGGCAGTGCAAACCGAGGACCCGTTCTGGGTCAGGCACCGAGGCAAGTGCTGTGAAGGGTCGGATCACCTCTGAGCCTAGGTCCCAGCTCACAAAAAGCGAGTCCGCGGAAGTCAATTTTGTTGAGCTAGTTAAATGGCTGGTAACCCCGCCCCCAGGTCCCTTCCATGCCCACCAGGCACTTCACCTCTCAGGGCTTCCCTTTTCCATCTGTGAATTAAAGGAGAGACAAGGGCAACGATGACCGGCATTGGAGCGTCTGCCCTGCTGGCAGGGGCTGCTGTGGCCCCGTTGCACAGGTGGGAGACCGAGGCCGGCCAGGTGTGCAGGGACTTACAGCCCTCGGGACCACACTGCCAGGACAAAGCCCAGGAGGGATTAGAACTCAACTCCGTCTCATTCCACACTCGAGCTCTTTAAACTCTCCCTTTGTGCGTGCCTGTAACTGATTGCCCCACCAACTGATTAACTGATTGATTAACTGATTGACTGATTACCTGCCACGGCCCCTCCTCCTGACGGGCCTTCCAGGGAGCCCCCTCCGACCCCCACTGCCCAGCTCACGTTCCTCCGACCACGCACCCCAGGTGCGCCCCCAACAAGCAGTGTGGAAGGGGGCGGGGCCTGGGCGGGGCTCCCGCGGCTTCCCGCCCCCGCCCGCCAGCCGCCGGCTTCTTAATCTGCAGCCCTTGTGGCTCTGCCTGTCGCCCGCCGGTTGTCAGGGAAACGACCTCTCCCCTCTGAACCTTCAAAGGGCTCCTCCCACTCCTGCGGGCGGGAGCTGGGGTCCTTGGATGAGAGACCGGGGAGACAGAGACGGGGGAGGGATACCCAGAGATGGAGAGACAGCGCAGCGAGAGGGAGAGACAGGGAGACAGAGACAGAGACGCACCCTGGCAGGGAGAGACGACACAGGCCGCAGAGAGAATGGAGGTGGAGAAAAAAGCGACAGTGACAAGAAAACGCACCCCCGCCCCTGCCACAGCAACAGAGGCAGAGAGATGGAGAGAGACAGTCACAGCCGTGTACAGAGACAGGGAGAGAGATCTTGGGAGAGGCAGGGTCAGCATAGAGATGGGGGGTGGGGGGCGGTGGACGGGGCCCCCCAAAGAGAAAAGACTAGGGCCAGCCAGGGGGAGAGAGTCGGGAGGCGGCGAACTTGTGAAAATAAATATTTATAAAATGAGAGTTTCTAAATTCTTTTTGCATTTCCGTAGTAAATTATTCATCTGTGTATCTCCCTCTCTCCTAACTGCTTAGGGAGCTGTCAAGGGGGGTGTGGCTTTCTGTGTTCCCCCCCCCGCCCCGCCCCGTCTTCCTCCCCCACCCTCTTCCTCCCCCCTCCCCCACCTCTCTCCGTCTATCCCCTTCCCCCCTCCCTAATCCTCTCCTTCCTGCCCCTTCCTTCCCTCCTCCTCCCTCTTCTCCCCACTCCGTTTCCTATCCCCTCTAACCCCTCTCCCGTCTCCCGCCTCCCCTCCTCCCCACTTCCCTCCTCCCGCTTCCCGTCTCCCCCTCCCCTTCCTGCTCCGGTTGGAGCTGAGCACCGGAGGCTGGCGGGGAGGGGCCGCCGCCCGGAGGTGACCGGCTGCCACGCTCTCGCGTTTCCTCCCCGCCTTAAATAAGAATAATTGTCTAAGTCAGCGGGGCTGGGATTAAAAAAACACTCGTCGCTGGCAGTCTGGCACCCCCAACCGGGACCACGGAAATCTTCCTCCAGAGGACTGGGGACGCTGGAGTTGGGGGGAAGGTGGAAGCTGGGCCAGGAGGGGGCTGCCGTCCCAGGAGGGCCCCGGCTGGAGCCAGAGGCCACACTGCTTCCAGGGGACCTTGCTGAACCTCAGTTTTCTGCTCTGTGGGATGGGGCCAAAGACTAACTTCCTGTTCTCTAGGGCCACACCAGCTCTCAAATCTGTTTGTGAGTCTAGAAGTTTTCAAGGCCCCTCTGATCAATGCCCACAGCTGATCAGGCAAAAAGGAGGAACAGGGGAATGAGTCTTCAAGGTATGATGTGAGTTCCTAAAGTCAGGCAAGGAGTGGGGAAAAGCCCGCCCAGCACCCAGGCACAGTGGGCCACACCACTCTCGGTCTGTGGCCTTGAGCACAGGCTCCGTTTCCTCACCTGCAAACTGAGCCGTGATGCCTCCCTCCCCTTGACAGAGGACAAGGGCCCTCCCCCTGCGAACTGCTGCACACCTCAGCGTCAGCGGCTAAGTGGCAGTTGTCCTGTGCCCAGCCATCCCCCTCCCCGCCCAGCCTCCAGGTCACCTGCACTAAACAGCAACAGGAAAGAGGGCCGGAACCTCTTCTCTCCCAGCAAGGAGCAGTCAGCACCAGAGAAACCAAGGTAGGTGGCAGATCAGGGCCTTCCCTGCTACCAACACCAGCCTAGAAGTCAGGAGCAAACCTTTGGGGATTCTTCAGAGATCTGCATCCTTTTCCTCCGTGTGATGCTGCAGGTGGAAGGCGGCCTTCCCTTTCTGGGCCAGGAGGCCCGGGTGTCAGGTCCTGAGTTTGATTCGTGACCCTGCTGTTTGACCTTAGCCTTTGACCTTTCCCTCTGGGGCAAAGAGTTCCAAGGTTCCTTCCAGCCCCTGCCTGTTTAGGATTCTGTTTTCTTTTTTTTGCTGTACGCGGGCCTCTCACTGTTGTGGCCTCTCCCGTTGCGGAGCACAGGCTCCGGACGCGCAGGCTCAGCGGCCATGGCTCACGGGCCCAGCCGCTCCGCGGCATGTGGGATCTTCCCAGACCGGGGCACGAACCCGTGTCCCCTGCATCGGCAGGCGGACTCTCAACCACTGCGCCACCAGGGAAGCCCTGTTTACTGCTGTTGACAGTGATGAGCGCCACTGTTCCATGACTCACTAGGTGCCAGGAGCAGTGCTCGGAGCCTCACAGCTCCTTTCAGCCTCCCCCCACCCTTCTCATCTAGGGCGCAGTGACTACTGCCCCATTTTACAGATGAGAACGCTGAAGCTCAGAGCGGGGACTTGCCTCAGATCAAGAGGCTGGACAGCGGCTGACGGGTGCTCTCGCTTTGGCGACACAGAAGGGTGTCCTCGCCCAGCTCCCTGTGCTGCCCACAGGGACATCTTACGTCAGGTCAGCGCTGCCTGGAGGGAAGGTGGCCCTTGGGATCAGAGTTGTCCAGCCTGCCCCAGCCTAGTGACCTCAGGCCCGACAGGACCTTCAGAAACACCGGTCTCTGATCTGAAGACTTCTCTTCGTCTTTTCCATAAGCACAGTGAGAAATGCATTGGGAAAATGACCCCCCTCTGGATAATTATCCCACATCCTGTGACCGGTGACACATTCGCTGGCCTAAAACAGTGGCTTTCAAGCCTCTGATAGACCCTAAGGGGCATTGAGAAAAGGGGGCAAAGAGAGCCAGGGTGGGCTCCTGCTTCACTCAGTATGAATCACTTGGGCAGGATCTGTCTTGAGAAGGAACAAGGCCCAAGGTTGAGGTGGGCAGGTGCATGTGAAGAACCAGTTTGAAACCCACTGTTGTAAATAGTGAGAAGCCGTTTGGGATGGAGAATTGCGGCTTTCTGAAGCCCCCACTTACGTAACTTGGCTCTCCCCCGGCTGCCACCCCAAGGGTGAGCAGACAAACAAAACTGCAGCTAAAGAGGCTTCTCCCAGGACTCTCTGGCCCAGAATCCTTTATGAGGTCACTGCATTCAGTCACTCAGACAGGCCCACCCAGTGGGTGCCGTCATACCCGCAGTGTGAACGCGCAAACTGGGGCTCAGAGACCTTCGGTAATTTGCCCAAGGTCACACAGCCAGCACGAGGCTCAACTAGGACACTCGGGCTTCTGACACTGACTGCCCTGCCCTGAAGAAGCAGCACGGTCACCCAGCGCGTGTCATTGGCTCCTGCCCCCGTCCTGCTCCAGTCAGTGTCAAGCCATCCCCAGGCGTTTCTTTGGGCCCCGGGAGGAATCACAGATTCTCAGGAACAGATCTGAGGAGCTGTTCAAATATATTCAGGAAAGAAAACAGCCACGGCCCCGGACAGAGATGGTCCTGCTGTGGGCACTGCCATGCCCTCCACGTACCCACCCCTCAGCCAGGGCGCCTCTATCCCCGCTGCAGGTGACAGCCATGTTTGCCACTCCCCGATGGAGTTGTCCCTAAAGTTCCAGAGCCCTTGTGCCTCCCAGAGGCCCCAAAGCAGGGCTGCGAGTCTTCCAGGAGCCTGTTTTCCATACATCCCTCACGTCTGTATTGGACCAGGTTCTGGGGCCGCCACCACGCTGCCCCCAGTCAGGCCAGGCCCTGGTTAGTCCTGAGCAGCATTCCCTTCTTCCCTAGAGATGGAGGTCCCCTCGGGAGGGAGGTGAGACAGAAACAGCCTGGGGTTGGCCTACCTTCCACCTTGCCAGAGAGACCCCGACAGGTAGAACCCCCCGGGCCCAAGGTGGGGCCTGCTCTGAGCTTAGGAAGAGTCAGTGTTGCCGATGGTGGGTGGGGGATGGGAGACAGAACAACAGAGCAGAGGGTCAAACTCACTTTTCCACCAGTTGAAGGCACAACTGGGCAAATTGGGGCGGGTCTCAGCCTCTGGGTGTCTGGGAAGCGAAGGAATGAAATCCCGGCTCCCGTGTGTGGAGTGAATGGAACTCTCCTTGCAGGTGGGGAAGTCGTCAGCCCCTGCCCAGTTGGTACCAGACCCTGTGGGATCTGCTCCCTGGAGCTGGACCCGCCGCTTCCAAACTGGAAGCAGAGGGGGGAGGGGAGGCCCAGGCATGGCTGTGGATGAAGGATGGGGGAACTGGGAGGGGAGGGGAAACTAATACCGACTTTCAGTCCCACTCCAGTGACTCATACACCCCACCTTTAGCGAGAAAGTTAGAGATTTTCATCATCACTATCATTAAAGGGGGTGGTTAGAAACACTTAGAATCTATGAAAGAGGGAGATCGTTCGTGCGCGCACGTTAACCATAGTTAGTCATCTCTGGATCTCTGGGTGAGGGGTATTGATGACTTTTCCCTTCTTGTTTGTCGCTTTCGGTGTTGCTTGAATTTATTTATTTATTTTACAAGAAGGGTGTTTTGTTTTTTTCCAGAAACAACAGTGATGTTACCCCAAAAGAGAAAAAAAATTTTTAAAGTCAACAAGACTAAACTCTGTAAATACCAAGACATTCTTCCAAAAAGATGCAGCAGATATGAAAACAACGAAGGGAAAACGTCAGAGGCTCATTGTTCCGCAACCCGAGGAACCAAAGAACCAGACCCAGTGAGTCCCGAAGAAGAGAAGACGAGTTTCAGAAACTCGCGGAAAGAAAGCTCTTGGGGGAACACGAGTGCCTTTGAGAGGAGCCAGTAAGGAGCGGATCCATGAGGTCTCCAGCAAAGAGCTGGAGCCCAAGAGGACTCGGCTCAGGCTGGAACTGTGACTCAGAGGCCGCTCTCTGGGCACCACGGGCAGTGTTTGCTCTCTGTAAGATGGGCATGGCAAGAGCGCCAGTATTAGGACTGGCGTCGCAGAGCCCAGATGGGAAGGGCATCCCCTCTTCCTGCCTCCCTCCCCATCCCCCACCCACCATGGGCAACACTGACTCTTCCTAAGCTCAGAGCAGGCCCCACCTTGGGGCCGGGGCGGGGGGGGGGGGGGTGGTTTCTACCTGTCGGGGCCTCTCTGGCAAGATGGAAGGTAGGCCAACCCCAGGTGGCGGTCCTCTCTGGAAACGCCCTGGGATGGAAAACTCAGCTCCGTTAGCAACTGTTCTTAAAAGCCCCTCCTGACCCTGGAGGCAGCACCTGCCACCAAAGAGCTGTCAGATGGTCCCATGCACCTGCCCTTTGACCAACAGATGCCATTTTTAGGAATTTAGACCACAGAAAGCCTCACACGGGAGACAAAGGGAAAATGCACAGGAAATTCACTGCATCACTGTTTATAACAGGAGAACTTTGGAAAGCGCCTAGACACCCATCCAGGGGGACTGATTACATAATGGGAAGGCACTGCCCAGTGGAGAGCAAAGAGCTGTAACAAACACCTGCCTGCTCCTTCAAGGAGTGAAAAGAGCAATAGGCCTTCGTCGGTATTTCAGGAAGGACACCTGGTTCACACCTTGCTTGTCAACGTAGCTGTGGTTGCCCTGGGAAGGGAGCTGGGGGCTTGGGTAGGAGGGAGAATAATTCTACCCTTAAACCCTTTTCTCTGATTCACTTCACCGTGAGCACGTACTCCCTAGGAAAGCCATCCGCTGGCCTTCCTCCCACTAGGATGCTGAGTAGAAACTTTTGGTGCTCACCCACCCTCAGTTCTCCTCTCCTTCTCAGGACCCGTCACCCTTGCCGCGGGGTGATGAGACCAGTGCTGGCCAGTGGATTGTGGGAAGAAGTGATGTGTTGTTCTTTTCCCTGTCTCAGTGACCCAGAGACGGAGGTGACACAGGAGGCAGCGTGGACCCCGAGCTTTCACACGGAGGACAGTTGCCCTGGAGAATCACCTGGACTCACAGCAGACTTTTGTTGTGTTGAGACAGTTCAATGTGGGGCTTATTTGTTACTGCAGAACAACCTAGCCTTGCTAACTGATACACATTTGGAAAACCACGTTCTTGTTCAAGGGGTACCAGAGAGCTTGGACAGGTCCCTTGACTCCACCAGGCCTCAGTTTCCCCATGTGTGTGGTGAGGCGAGGGGGCTTTTCTCCTCTTACTAGGGCCTGTGCTGCTAAGGTACCCAAACCCTAAAGGCCTGAGGAGTATCTGCCAATACTAAGGGCTGCTGATGTGGAGTGCTTGCTGGACACTGGCCGCTGGCTGGGCCACCTTGGGGATATCACGGAATCCTCACAGTGGCCCCAGGAGGGAGGCACTATCATTATCCCCATTTCCCCAGCAGGAAACTGAGGCTCAAGAAGGTAAGGTCACTGGCCCGGAAGCCCCAGCGTGTGTGATTCTTAACTGCTCTAACGACAACTGCCACCTGGTATTTTACTTTCTCTCTTATAAACACAACTTAAAAGAAAGCCCACTGTTGACAACTTGGGAGAGCTTAGAATAAGGATTTTTTTTTAAATTCACGACCTTAACCATTTTTTTTTTTAACATCTTTATTGGGGTATAATTGCTTTACAATGGTGTGTTCGTTTCTGCTGTATAACAAAGTGAATCAGTTATACATATACATATGTTCCCATATCTCTTCCCTCTTGCGTCACCTTAACCATTTTTAAGTGTACGGTTCAGTGGCATTAAGTCCATTCACGTTCTTGTGCAAGCACCACCACCAGCCATCTCCAGAACTCTTTCTTTTTGGCCGCACCTTGCAGCACGCAGGATCTTACTTCCCCCACCAGGGATCGAACCCTGTCCCCTGAAGTGGAAGCGTGGAGTCTTAACCACTGGACCACCAGGGAAGACCCAGAACCCTTTTTATCCTGCGAAACTTTGTACCTATTAAACACGAACTCCTTATTTACCCCTCCCCCCAGGCCTTGGCACCCACCGTTCTCTATGAATTTACCCATTCTAGATACCTAATATACGTGCAATCATACAATATTTGTCCTTTAGTGTCTGGTTTATTTCAGTTAGCATAATGTCCTCCAGGTTCATCCAAATTGAAGCATGTGTCAGAATGTCCTTCCTTTTTAAGGCTGAATGACATTCCATTATATGTATGTACCACATTTTGTTTATCCATTCATCTGTTGATGGACACTTGGGTTGTTCCCGCCTTTTGGCTACTGTGGATAACGCTGCAGGGAACGTGGGTGTACATATATCTGTTGGAGACCCTGCTTCCAATTCTTTGAGGTATATATCCCAAAGTGGAATTGCTAGATCATATGGTAATTCTATTTTTAATTTTTTGAGGACCCACCATACTGTTTTCCACGGCGGCTGGACCATTTTACATTCCCACCAAGAGTGTACAAGCTTCCAATTTCTCTACATCCTCACCAACACTTATTTTCTGAGTTTTGGTAGTAGCCATCCTAACAGGTCTTAGGTGGTATCTTATTGTGGTTTTGATTTGCACTTCCTGATGGTCACTGAGGGAATGGGATTTTTTTTAATGCCACTGGTGCGGTCCCCTGGACCTGCTTCCAGAGGAGGAAGCAGGGGGCCGGGGTGCTGCTCCAGTCCTGGGGACATCGTAGCCACACCTCAAAGTCCTCGAATCCCAAACAGGTGCGTGGTGCCGTGCTCCTGGGGCACAGTGTGACTGTGCGCCCTAATGACCTGTGCCCACCCCAGCTGGGGTCCCAACTTCTCCAGAACCTCAGCCTCTGACGTTGCAACCCCCTACTTCCCCTACTGGGCCTGAGCAGGAACTGAGCTCGGCCTTTCCAGCCCCACCTGATCCTGTGACCTAGAGTCCCCACCCAGGCCGGGGACACAGAGCACAGAGGAGGCAGCATTACAGGGAGGTGGCGGGGGGGAGAGGGGGTGGTCATCTGCATGTCCCTTGTCCTTCCACGTCTAGTCTAGTGCAGCTTTGTGTGTGGGACAAGGTCAGGGACTTTGGAGCCAGACAGACTCAGTCTGAGTTCCATCTGTGCCGTTTGCCAGCCGTGTGACCTTGGATAAGTCACTTCCCTTCCCAGCCCTCACTTTTCTCATCTGTAAAATGGCTGAAATGGTGCTTGGCAATAGTAAGCACTGACTAACCACTTCCCTTAATGACCAGCATTATCGTCATCCTCACTGTCATCCACATCCAAAGGTACGATCGGGTCCCACCTGTGTCAAACAGTCCATGGCTCCCTATTGCCGGCAGGAGAAAATCCACCACGCTCTCACGGACCGGTGGGCACTGCCTGGACTGGTCCCTGCTGACATCTCCAAACTCCTCTTCCCCTCACTCATCACAATGCAGTCACCTGGGCTGCCTCCTGTCCCTCAAACACCCAGCACTCCTTTCTGCCACTGGCCCTTTGCACATGCTTTTCCTCCTGCCTGAAATGTGCTTTCTTCACTCCACTCCACGCCCATCCCTCCCACGGTTAACTCCTAAAGGCTCTGTCTCACTTCAAACATTACCTCTTCCAAGAAGCCTTCCTGGACATCCCCACCCCTTGTCCACATGGGAACCCTTGGCCTTCACAGCTCCGTACCCACCCCCCACCCCTGCATAGTGCTTCACAGTACTGAAATGTGAAATTATTTGAGGAATGTCAGCCTCCCCAAGTGAGCTGTGAGACTGTCTTGCTCCCCATTATCGTGCACGCACCAAGGACAGGGTTGACCCAGGGGCCCCCCAAATGTTCATCAAATTGAATTATTAATTTCCAGAATCTCCTTGACTTGGGAAACTCAGATTCTTTTCAGCAAAGACAATCCATTACCTACATAACAAAATAGGCTTTAACGTTCATACCTTTGTAAGACTTTTCCACTCATTACACGAACAAATCTGGGAAAACCCTCAGCTTCATCCTGTGCCCTAATTTTTCAGCTCATGGTCACTGAACTCAGAGCAGCTGCCCACAGTTCCTGCTGTGCCTCCTCGCAGCCCAGCCTCCGGCCACCCCTTCCTCAGAACACGCAGGAGGCTGCGGGCTGCTCCAAGTGTCACCCCTTGCCTGGGGATAAATGCCAACCATGAGTAATGGCGGGTTGCTGAGGGAGATGCAGACGCACATTCAGCCCAGTCAGCAAGATCAGCGAAAGCCAATGTGGCCCCTTGCCCGGGGTTAGGGCCTGACTCAGCCGGTCCACACACAGCAGCCCCCCAACCAGTTGGGGAGTGAAGGTGCGGACCCCCAGGGGAACGCGGGGCAGGACGCCCGCTAAGACGTGTTGCCAAAGCCCGTGCATTCGTTGGTTCCTGCATCTTCTCCCTTGTCTATTTCAACAGCCCAGCGACTACCGTCTACTCCAACTGGTTTGGGGGAGGCCCTAGTGAGGCCCAGGGCTCACCCTTTCCCCAGGCCATGGGATGCTGTACAGGATGCTTCAGAGGGCCCCAGGGGAGGTGGTATTCAGAGAGGGGCAGCGCTGAGGTCCATTCAAATGGTTCTCCATGAAAGAACTTTCTTGATGCAGTGATGCAAATAGGCTACAGGAAACAATCACCGTTAGTACCACCGGTGCTGTGATTGTGGTTGGGGCAGCTCAGGGAAAGTGACACCTTGAGGCCTGGAAGAAGGGCGGACTGTCCCCAAATATAGACGAGTTGGGGGAGGACTTGGGACGTGGGGTCAGCGTCTGGTTGGGATCCACAGACACGGACGGTGAGCCTCAGGGTGAATGAGACCGGTTGAGAGGGAAGGTCTGAGCCTGGAAAAAGGAGCCTGGCCTGCGTGGGGGTCCTAGGTTCCCCCAGGGCTCACGTTCCTGTGGGATAGATGATATAGACAAAATGAAACAAACAAGCAACTAGATGGGATGTGGGAGGTGGCAAGGGCAAGGGGCGGAAGTGGGTGGTTAGGGAGGACTCCTGGGGGGGAGAGGGTGGGCCCTGGGGATATCTGGGGGGAAACTCCAGGAGAGAGGGCCCAAGAGACTCCAGGGTACAGTGAACCTGAAAGAGTGGAAAAGAGTGGGGGCGGGGTGGGGGAAGGAGAGGGAAGTAGGGGAGGGGTGGGAGAGGGAAGTAGGGGAGGGGTGGGAGAGGGAGAAGGGGTGGGGGGGGTGTCACACTCACCCACATACACACAGGGAGAGCTTCTCCAGACAGCTGTTCGTGCCCCTTGTTTCCTTCCCAGAATTCCCAGGCTAACCCATCAGGCAACAGGCTACACCCCATCCCCCAATAATCAAAGACCTCCTCATCTATGCAGAGCTTTAGCGGGGCTCAGCCTTTGTGGATCCTCACAGCTGCCTGTGGGGTGTCCTAACCCCCATTCTGCAGCTGAAACAGCCGAGGCTTTCGCTGGAAAGGGGAGCAGATCTGGGACGAGGCTCGGGGAGGCAAGAGGCCTGGAAACCCTCAGGGAAATTCACACTCCAGCTGCTTGCCAGCCCAAGGACAAGCGTTCTCAGCTACTGTCACATCAACACACACACATGCACACTGACACGCACGTGTGTACCCGGACACACTCACAACCCCACCCTCACACTGTCATGTGCACACACTGGCAAACAGATAAACACTCACAATGACACACAAGCATAGCCCAACACACCACCACACAGCGCGCACACACACACACACACACACACACACACACACACACACACGACTGCGCCACACAGCGCGCGCGCGCGCGCACACACACACACACACACACACACACACACACACACACACACACAC